TAAATTATTAACGGCACAATCACGTGACTGATGGTTATTGACGTAAACAGCTCACTAAAATAACGTCATTTGATTTGGTTGTTAATGACTTAATGACCTAGTGATATAAATGAAATGAAAATCAAAGTTTAGTGTTATAAGTGAAAAATCGAAAGTTCAGTGGTATAAACAATACAACGCTTAAAGTTTAGTGATATCTGATGTAATTTACCCTATTATTATTATTATTATTATTATTATTATTAGGGTAAATTGTACGAATAGTCTTTGGTTTTTTGTTTGGACGACTTTGGTTACTAGTTCAAAAATTAAGTGTATTTGGTCCCTTGTGTTATATGATTTTAATCCCTCAAATGTTAACTCACATTAACCCTTAATGGAAGTCTGAGTTACAATTAATTAAAAATATAAAACGTGTCAAAAATAACGTATCGTCTTCTTCTCTTTAACATCCGGTTTTCATGCACTTCGAGAGGTGTTTCATCGCCAATTAGTTAACTAGATCAAACGAAACTAGACTCGGAATTCTGCGCGTTTTTGCTTGTTAGTTTCTGTCATAAGTTTTCTTTTGCTTCAAACCAATGTTGCCAAGAAGAAAACTCAATTTTCAAATCTTTTTCTAACTTCATATTCTTCTGCTCTTACATTCTTTCTAATCTTATCTACTTCTCTTATTTTATCTTTTTCTCTCCTTCATCTCTTTAAGATTTTTTGATTTCTTTCGCCGCTTTTTGTCACCACTTCCCTTTTGATTCCTGCATTATTTACGGTATTAAGTTCCCTAGTAGTCGACGATGAAAGTGATGACTTACCATGCTTGGAAGAGCTTGAAGCGTATAATTTCATGTATGAAATTACAACCATTGCAGAAATTAGAGAAAACACAGATGGAGTTTCGGAGATGGAAGTCATTGTTGATTGCTTACAAGCTGTTAATGAATTCGATTATGTTTCGGTTTACAATCAGAAAATATTGACAAGTGGTACTTACGATGAAGAATTAGAGGAGATTTCATGTCTGAAAATTATTCAGGTAAATGCTGTAATGAAGATCTTTGAAGTTTGAAGAGTTTTTGAAAGAAAAAAAAATGAGCTTGAAAACTTATCGCCTACGAAGGAAGAAAAAGATAGGAATCCAAGACAATGGAGAGTAAAGTAAGTGATCTTAAGGCTACAGTGGGAATTGAAAATGGTGGGGAGCTTGAAGACAAAACAATGGTGAATTCCCAAAGCGTTAACAACGAAACAACGGGGTTGAGTTATTTGGGGTCAATAAAGAAAGAAAAGGAATGGAAGAGGACATTGGCATGCAAGCTTTTCGAGGGGAGACACAAGGTGACGACATCTAATGGAGGTGGTGAGAGGATGGATTTGTTATGGTAAGTATATGAATAAGTTGAAGCTGAAAAGTGTTGGATAAAATAAAGGAAAGAAAGGTGGCAATGACATCAAAGACGATGAGGAGTCAGAAGGTCATTTATGTTGAATGAGGTAGACTTCAGATTCATCTCCTCTAAGATCATAGCAAGATATCATCTTTTCTAGTGGCATGCTTTTTATCTCTAATGTTGGCAGTAGCAGCAACAACACCGTGTTTGAAGAAAAAAATGATGACATCGTATTTTTAAAGAAATTTTAATTGTCACGTAATACTTTTGTTATTGGGTTAACATACATTAATAGTTGAATAACTTAAATTAGACGAATCGATAACGTGAGGGACCAAATGTGCTTTATTTTTAAATCGGTGACCAAAAGTAATCAGACAAAAAAACAAAAGGAGAGCATAATTTATCCTTATTATTATTTTATTGTTATTGTTGTAGGTAAAAATTGTTATTGTTCCCTGAGAAATTAAGCAGCAAGGTGTTGGCCCGGCCTGTTTTCCTAAATAAACCAGGTGAAGGATTCCGCGTTTGAACCCTAAACGTATAATTAAATTGTTTAATCAGACAATTAGTTAATAATGAAGGGTTAAATTTCTAACACAGTTTCTGGTACGCGGCGACTCGAGCGAAAGAAACAAGACAAAGAGAGCTTGGGCATGGCAGGAGAAGCCATGGCCTCCCAAGATCTCGAGAGCCATTTTGCAAAAGATCTTCAACTAATTTCTTCATGAATTCCAAGATTCCTCGACTCAAACAGTGCACAACCAAAGAACCAAAGCTGGGTTTTTTTCCCCTCAAAGATTCTTTGTAAAGTGGAGAGCTTTCATGTCTGATTTCTTTTTCTATTATTAGTAAAATGGTGAATCTGTAAGCGAAATGAGTGTTTCAGCAATGGGGTTCTGCTCTTCACTATGCTTCTGTCTTTTAATGAACCATCTGTCCCCAATTTTTTTCATTTTTACAATAACATGCCTTGTATGGTAATTGACTTTTCATTTTTTTAGAAAAGTAAACAAAATACATAAATAAACCTTTGAGAAGAGCCAATGGTCATGTATTTGTTTATTATGTTACTCATTTGTCACATACCGAGACCTGTTCTTTCCTCCTCTGGTTTAAATAGAGCGCATTTATTAGCAGGCCGTTGATCTAAGGAGCTCCCATAGCTTCACACTCCACCTAGTGTTGAGGTAAAAGTGGATGCTTACATTCCGACGTCGTTTCCGCTTGCTTCGTGGCTGATGAAGGTCTTTCAGGCTACCTAGAGGCGTGCTCCCAACATCACATGTTCGGCTAAGACGAATTATCCCGCTACAAAGCACGTTTATAGGATTGGTTGCAAGTTATTCTTACCCAGATTGTCGTGACAGCAGAGCGCAAAAGCATCTGCTGAACGCATTGTCCTGTTTTATGCAACAGGCTTGAGGAAGAAGTGATACTTGCATGTTAAGGAAATGGTAGTTACTTCGGGTTCGAGATCAGACCAATTTAAGATTTTTTCTGCTAAAGAGAACTCTCCGGTGGAGTCATCTTGGATTGCGCGCATGATGGAGGCCCAACAAAAGGGAAAAAGTGCTAAAGAACCAAAAGAAGAATTCAAGGTGACAACCTATTGGGAAGAGGCACAGCTAAAGTTATACAATAAGCGGGTACTTTGGGATTTCGGACATGTTCACCAAATAGCCGGAACCGAAGCTAGTGTCGAAGGAGGTGGCGGCGACTCTTCTTCCGGCGGGCATGGAGTTTTAGCCGGTAAAAAAGCAGGTGAGAAGAGACGAAAGAAGATGGAGAAGACAATCAGCTTGCAGGATCTCCGGCAGTACTTTGCAGGGAGTCTTAAAGATGCTGCTAAGAGTATTGGAGGTATGAAAACGTTTCATTATAGCTACAAGCCTTGTATTCTTGTCTTCATTTTTATTGAACGAAAACATTTTTCTGAAAATCATATAGCTCGAGTAAACGATCAGAAAACAGACAGAGTACCGAATACGTTCGAGTTGCTTACCGAGTTTATTCTATTGCAGTGTGCCCGACTACTTTGAAAAGGATATGCAGACAACATGGGATCAATCGATGGCTGTCTCGAAAAATTAAGAAGGTAGGCCACTCTTTAAGAAAGCTCCAAGGTGTTATTGATTCGGTTCAAGGTGCTGAGGGAGCCATTCACATAGGTTCGTTCTATTCAAGCTTCCCACAACTTAGCTCGCCAAACTTGACATCAGAACCGCAACTTGACAGCAACATGTTAATCCGAGGAGCTGCTGCGTCAAAATCTCGACTGTCTTCATCAAGTCAGAGCTCTGGTTCAAGTACTTGTTGTTCCACTGGAGCTAAACAGCAGAGTACCGGTATCAATACAGTGGAAGATCCTGGTGGAACACTAAAGAGCGTTCTCGGTGATGCTGAATTGCACTCCTTGAACCGTAAAACAATAGTTGAGCTTCCTAATTTCGAGACTCGACCTTGGTTCCCGAAAATGTTTGGCCGAAATATATCTGCTGAGGGCGCCTTGAGAGTGAAAGCTACGTTCGGAGAAGCTAAGATACAGTTCATCTTGCAACCAAGTTGGGGATTCATAGACATGCAACAAGAGATCATGAAACATTTTAACATGGAAGATATCGGCAAAATCAATCTCAAGTACTTGGATGACGACGATGAATGGGTTCTCTTGACGTGCGACGCCGACCTCCAGGAGTGCATAGATATATACAAATCAGCTCAGAGCCACACCATCCGAATCTCCCTTCATCAAACTTCTAATCCGAGTCTAGGAAGCTCGTCCGGTAGCAGTGCCACCATCAATTATGGTCCTTTTGGCGAGAGGCATCCGCCACCTCAAAGGTGCCGTTTTATGACCGAATCTTATCAAAGGAAGCCGTAGAATATAAGATGGAATCCAGATACACGAATTGTACAGACTCTGTATGCAATATAATAAAAGCGTAAGCACTGTGGGTGAAGATGACCGAGAGAGGATTGAGAATAATATTTGATGCCATATCATATGTTTGTATTTTAGGTTTACTGCAAAAAAATGATTCATTGAAGATTTGAAAGCAGTTTAACCCATCCTATGTTCATCTCTTCTAGTTTAAACGTTTGTGTAAATAGATTAAGATTCGGATGCGATTTTGATTCATTTATTATATGAACCCTTTTCACCTTATTATTCATAGTGTCATCCACTTTACTCAGTTTTCTTTCCTGCCATTTTTTAATGATGAATCTTACGTCTTGTCCATGTAAATATGAAGGTAAGTGATTGATTATTAGAAAATTAATTATGAGAGAACTAATGGCATAAAAAAACTAAGCCATTAATTGGATCTTTGAAATAATTTCATGATGATATGACATCAACCCGTTGGATCTTTGAAAGTCCACGTCATCAAATGACAACATCAAAATATACTCCGTTTCGACTCTTGGAATTGGATTTTTGGACGGCAAGATAGCACTTTGTATGGACTTTGGATACCCAAAACACCTAATTTTCCTATTTTGGGAAAAGAAAATTCCTCCTCTTTCAGAATATTTTATAACCAAACAAGGCGTTTCAGTATGCAAACATTCCTCAGCGTTTTTTTTTTGTATAAACAAGGCGATACAAGACAAGAGGTTGGTATTTGAAAAGCAACATGCATTATTTGAGAATTGATCAAAGCATTCAAGATGACCAGTTGTATGCAAATTCCCAGAACCCTGTTTGTCCATTCAGTCCGTAGATGCCTTCGCCCGAAACCAGCCAAGAACATTGACTCTGGCATCGAGCAAAGTCCCTCTGAAAGGAATACGAGTCAAAATGATATTGCTGCACCTCATCCCACCCAATATCACAGTAAAACAGCGTACTACCCCATACGTTGACGGTGAAATCCCATCCAAATTCGCTCCCATCGCCCACATTTTGCTGGCCGAGATCGGTATCTTTTGATTGGCAATGCAAGGTTAAGTTCTTTCCACTGCCCAATCTGTTCTTGATGCTTACATGCACTGCATCATCCGAATGAACTGAAGTGCAACAACTTAAAACTAGAAGAGTCACCAGAGCATTACCGAAAATTAGAGCTGAAGCTTGCATTTTTAGTATGGTATCGATAGGTGATGCCTAATGCTCTAATTTATTGCTCTCAACGTCTAAAGTAATCTGATAGCTAACAAACAAAATTTCATAGGGATTGCTGTGCTTTCCTTTCCCTATGCACAAATTGAGAGAAGATGACATTTCCATGATGACAAAACTAGTACATCTTGTTGAATCCAAGGCATAGTGGTTGAAGTCTCCAATGCCTAATAGAAGGTTGTCTTTGTTGCTATCCATGTGACCCATAATTTAATAATTTCTCAACCAAGTTCGTGACAAGTTTGAATTTTTTAAAAGAACAATATTTTTTATATTAATCACGTTATTATTTGATAAGGTTAATTAATTTGGGGAATTTTGTGAATAATAATAATAATAATGTTTGGACATGGTTTGCTTTTTTCAAAATAAATGCATGAATTTGACACCTCCTTATCTCATGGGACTAGGAAGTTACGTGACTATATTCCTCCTTCAATTCAGTTTTATTCACACCTCTTATGTTCTGTATTTAGATGTAAGATTGTAATCCAAGTAAAACAAAAACAAAATTGATAGCTATTATTGTTATTGTAATAACATAAAGATTATGATTTGAAGTGCAAACCAAACACACCTTCAGCTTTCATTTCATAAATCGCATGCCAAACGAAAAGCAAAATAAAAGTGACGCCATGAAAGGAAGCGTACGTACGTAATAACGTGGGTTAATCATGCCATGCATTGCTGCAATGGTGATGGTGGTGGTTAGATAGTGTTTACAGGGGTTCAAGTCCTGTACGAATTGGCTGCTACTGATGGGATGAGCTTGAAGGTTATGGTTGCTTACCGCTTCATGTTTGCCTCCGCTGTTGCCATCCCTCTTGCTCTCCTCGCTCAAAGGTTCCCTCCCTCCCTCTATTTCATCATGTTGATGTTTGGTTTTGTTTATACACAATCCACTCAATTTTTCAAATATAACTTTCTTTTTCCAAATTTTATATTATTTTGTACTAAATAATTTATTGAGTCCACTTGATTTAATATTCACTCATAACTCTACCGATAAATATGGTGGGTTCACTTAGGGTTTTACTCACATCAACAATGTGAAAATTATTACGTTGTTTTTGCACTTCGAGATGAAAAGATTGCAGTGTTTCTCTTTTGTTTGAAGGATTGAAATAGCTAGGTGTATATAAATATGTCCATATATGGTAATTAACCCTTTCTTTCATATGTGTGTGTGGTAATGAACATTAATGCGCAGGGAGAGGCCAAAGCTAACAGGGACTATAATACTTCAAGCACTTCTTAGTGGGTTACTTTGGTAAGCTTATTTTCGAATTCCAGGTTTATTAATAATTCATTAAACTAATTCCAAAGTTAATGATCCACCTTTCACGATTGAACGCATTCTCACATTTCCAAACCTCATCATCCGGGATGATAACAAATTGGGAGCACTCATTATATGTTTAGGGATAGTTATAATAATATTAATATATCTATATATTTCAATCATATCCCTGTTTATCAAATTTTATGTTGGGTTAGGTTTTGAGTTGGACACAACCTCCTTAAACTCGAGTTGAATAGGCTGGCGAGTGGAGGGGTATAATACTAAAGATTAGATTTGGATCAATCGAAAATATAAGAGTCTGTTTGGTTTTTGAAAATATATATTATTTTCGTTTCCATTTTCTTAGAAAATAGAAAACGTCGAAGAAAATGTATTTGGTCGTAAAATTAGAAAATGATTCTTGAAAATAAAAACAATAATAAGTGAAAATATGAAAACATAAAAAATATGTTTTAACTGTTTTCATTAAAATTATTTTGGAAATTTGAAAAAAAATAGAAAAACACTATATTCAAAATTTTTAATTTACATGAATTCAAATCTTTTTAATAATATTTTTTTAACTTAATGGTGTATGCAACCCTTAAACTTTTATAACATAGTCTATGAATTTTTACAATCAATTTGGTCATTAAGCTAAATTTTTTAATAATTTAATTTTGTAGTATTTTTATATTTAATATATTAATTATTTTAACAATTGTTTATACTTTAATTTTAAATTTAAATATTATTCTTAATTTATTTAAAATTAATTAAGTCCTTAAACATTTTAAAGAATCAAATAAACCCTAAAACTCAGTCTAAAAATCAATTAAGCCATCTACTACATCATTATCCATCATGTACTATCACAACATGATCGTGAACTATCACATCAATATTATAGATTATCATGTAAGCTTTGTGAATAGTCATGTAAACGTCGTGAGGGTTAATGTTTGATTCCGTTACTCAAAGGATTAGATTATTTTTTTTCTTAGTTAAAGGTCGTATTGAGTGTAAAAAAATCAAATACTACACTAGTTTATTCCAAAAGTTTGAAAGCCTTAAATTGTTGAATAATCGGGTAAAGAGAACGGAAAGAACACAAGAATTTTAATGAGGTTCAACAATGTGCTTACGTCCTCGGTGCCCTAGGCGGCGCTAGAATTTTTATTCAATATCTCATAGGTTTTGGTTACATTTCCTTTTATAATAAATAAACTCTGATACATATTTACAAAAATAACCCTATACTGTACCGATATATTTATGAGCCATACCTAACATAAATAACACCAAATATTTTTTATTTTAATGACACTTTTGTGTGCAATTGTTTATAACATTATTTTTATCTATTTTTTAATTAATTTAGTTGATGTCAAATATACATTATCATTATTATAAATTAAAATATTTTTTGTTACAAAATTTCTTATCAACTTTATTATTTTATAGTTGCATAACAGGCTATTAAATTTATGTAATGAAATTTTTAATAATTATATTTATTTAATAACTATTTATGCATTTTTATTTCTAAACAACAGATGTCAAATAAATTTTAATTATTTTTATTTCTTAATTGAAATTTTTATTTATATTAACCAAACATCTAATTTTAAAAAAATGGAAATCAAAATTATTTTCTAAAAATAAAAAATAGTAAACAAAACAGAAAATATTTTCTAGAACCAAACGGAGCCTAACTCACTTGTTCTCATCCACTGTGGAAGAGCAGTCTTGGCACTCCCAAAGTTTTGGGAAATTTACATTATACCTCTTAATTATTTTAGAAATTTATTAGGGTTTCTTAACTTTTTTAAGTACTCTTGAAGTCTTAAAAATCTTGCCCATCAAAATTGTTAAAAGAAATTCACTAAGCCTGCCCAATTTTTTTTTAAATCTCATTAAGTCCCTCCACTATTTTAATTTTTTTTGATTATATTACCAAAAATTTAAATTTTTTATTAGGCCTCTAAATTATAATATCAAGATTCACCACTACTAATAGTAATCATCAAAGCCTAACCCTAAAATCATTGAAAAAAACTGTTTTCAAATGAACAAATTACTAAGAATTAACAAAGATAAATTTCTCTGTGTTTCGTATTATATAGTGGCTCACTGTCTCAAAATTTGTACATAGAAGCAATGTCATTAACGTCTGCAACATTTGTGACTGCCATGAGTAACCTAATTCCAGCCATGAATTTCATTATAGTCGTCATCATTTGGAACATATCTCCTCAATCTTTAACTTCACTTCTCCAACATAAATTTTGTATCCATCTCAACCCGTATATAATTCATGGCATACAGGTTGGAAAAGGTAGGTTTGGAACAATGGCAAGGAAGACAAAGGTGTTGTGAACAATAACAGGACTAGGTGGAGCAATGGTATTCACATTATTCAAAGGACTACATATTAACATGGGGTCAGTCCAACTAGACCTTCTTTATCACCAGCACCATGGGTCTTCTTCTTCTGGTTCACATCCAATGTAACCTCAAAGACCCGACCTGGGAGTTACGATCGAACCTAGACGATCACATGTCGTATTCAAAGTTCTTTTCATATTTAAAATGCAATCCAAATTCATCTCAGTAAATAAGGACCATGTAACGGTAAAATACTGAAAATAACCATCATAAAAGTCCCTACGGTAAATATACAAAGAATGACATCGGGATACAAAATATCCATAATATAGATACCTAGGAAGTAATAAACACGTGTCACCCAAAATATAATAGAAAAGGCGTGAAGAAATATACAATAATACAAAACTAGAGAAAGATTAGTCCTCTTGATGCCAAGTTTGCTAGCCTACTGTCGGATAGTATCTGAAAAGGTAAAAATTAAAGAATGAGCTAAAAAAAAGCCCAGTGTGCTCTTGACATTGTATAAAAGCATACAAATAAAATACTTTGGTAAAAGTTACGTATAAAATAGGGTTTAAAAACATGAACACTACCCCCATCCGAACACCAAATGTGTAGGTTCCCCTGAACCATACACCCACCTGTACACCCAATAAGGACCTTAAACAGATAGTATAAGAGCCTGCGGTAAGGACTTATCATGTGCACAAAAAAAGTAAGAGGAGCCTGCAATAAGGTCTTACAAGTCATAGACTAAGCTTGAGATACTTCCTCCAATCAAAGCCCCCAATAATAGCAAAAGTGCATGTATTTGAGTAAGAATAGTAATTTTAACTATTTAAATATTAAAACATGCAACTTATCATAATCAGATACAAATATAGGGCAACCAGAGATCATGCTAGAAGCATTCGGTAATTCATATATAATGTGATCAAAATATAAATCTAAGAATTTTTAAATAGTTCAGACAGATAGTCAAAATAGTACTGGGACACCAATAGGAACACACCTGAACCGATCTGAGTAGTTTGGGACGATCACCTACTCTTGGGTCTTCCTATTGCGGTCAGTGGCAGTGCTAGATTCTATGAATCAGAATAACTGAAATAAGAACCCTAATTAAATAAGTAATAAACTTTAATAGAATAATTTACGGAAACCTACGAGTAACTCTTGAAGAACACAGATCGGACAATTCTGTGGGACGGGTAGTGCCAGACCTAGATGACCCTCGGTCAGGGGTATCTCGTGTACCTTCATAAAAATATAGCATCAGATTAATTCCATAATCAAATCCTGAATAAAAGTGTAGAAATGCTAAAAATAGTAAGCATTTTTTGATTAACATGCTCGATTCGTGGCTTTTGGATCAGAATTTAGCAAAACGAACCACAAAATCAAACTCAAGACATCGAAAAACTTTAAGAGAGAGGTTTTAAAAAAAATCAACGTCGATCAACAGTTAAAGTCAACAACGATAGTTAATAGTCAACAGCGATGGTCAACGGTCAAAGTCAACAACACGGCTCGACTTGGCTCAACTCAATCTGGTTCAGTTCGATTAGACCAGTTTGGTCCGATTTAGAAATAGACTGGTCTGATTGGGCCGGTTTGGTTGGGCTTAGGCCAAATGGATGTACGAGTCGGGTCGAATACAGTTTATGGGTCGGGTATGTGGGTTAGGTCGACACGTTTCTAGATGGTCCATCAGGCGGTGGACAAGCCCCGTACGTAGGGGCAACGCGTGGGAGCGCATGCGACGTCGTTTTGTGACAGGAAAAATATAAAAATCCTAAAAATTATTTTAAGGGATTTTGAGTCACTTTCCTAGCTCGTTCACCACGGTGAACGGCGGAGAGCCCGATTATGCTTTGTTGAAAACTTGTTTTGTGTCACCCCTCTGCACACTGATGATTTAAATGACAAAACAACCACTGTTGGACTCACAACAATGCAAGGAAAGTAATGGTATAAGTGGTGTCATTAACGGAGCTCCGATCGTCGATGAAATAACATTTAAAGATTTTAGAGAGAGAAAATATTAAAAATGGAAAATTGAATAGAGAAAGAGAACATTTCCCAAAAATGGAAATTTATAAGGAGAAAATGGAATTCTATACCCCAACAAAAAGAAAATAGTGTAATTACACCATTGGTCCTCTAAATTTAAAACTTTCAAATTTAGACCCAAAATTTATTAAAATTTCATTTTAGTCCCATAATTATAATTAAATTTCAATTTAGACCTTAAAATTTAAATTAAAAAAAAATTAATCCCTAATTTGGGGTGTGAAAACTCTCCCCCCTAAAAATAAATTTCGTCATCGAAATTTACTTGGTCTGAACAGATGCAAAAACTAAGCTCCATCGACTTTAATGTCTCCTAGGTAGCCTCTATAGGACCATAATTACTCCATTGAACTTTGACCATAGGGATCTGCCTATTTCGAAGAACTCTCTCATCCTTATCCAAAATCTGAACAGACTCTTCCTCATAGGACAAATCAGGTCTTAACTCTACATCATCAATCAGAGCAACATGACTCGGATCCGAACGGTATCGCCTTAGCATAGATACATGAAGAACATCATGAATGTGACTAAGTTGAGGAGGCATCTCAAGCTGATAATCAAAAGGTCTAACTCTCTTCAGAATACGATAAGGCTCAATGAACCTCGGACTCAACTTACCATTGTATCCAAATCTCAACACCTTCTTCCATGGAGATATTTTCATAAATACATGATCTCTAACCTCAAACTTGATATCCTTTCTCCTTTGGTCAATATAATATTTATGTCTATCAAAGGCCTCTTTCAGGTGATCATGAATCAATATGACAGTATCCTTAGTCTCCTAGACTAACTCTGGACCCAACGTCCTCATATCATGCAACTCAGTCCAACATATAGGAATACGACATTTATGCCCATACAGAACCTCGTAGCATATCCTTAAGAACCTGAACCACTCTCTTAGACTAATCATCATTCTGCGGATGAAAAGTTATACTGAAGTTTAAACAAACACCTAGAGCCTCATATAGAGCTTTCCAGAATCTAGAAGTAAATCTTGGGTCTCGATCCAAAATGATAGACAACAGAACACCATGAAGCCTGAAAATCTCATAAATATATAATCTAGCCAGCTTGTCCAAGGAATAATTAACCCATACAGGAATAAAATGAGCTGATTTGGTGAGTCGATTAACAATCATCCAGAAAAAATCCTTTTTAGGGGTCAAAGGTAACCTAGTCACAAAATCCATCGTAATGCGCTCTTATTTCCACTCTGGAATCATAATAGGCTGCAACAGACCAGACAAATGTTAATTCTCTACTTAGACCTACTGACAAGTCAGGCATATCGCCACCTAATTAGAAATATCTTCCTTCATACCAACCCAATAGTAACGCTAATTGAGATTCTTGTACATCTTGTCTCCACCAGGATGCATAGCATAAGGGCTATTATGGCCTCCTAAAGAACGGTCTGCCACAACTATTCATCCTTTGGAACTCTGTAATGACCATGGAAGCATAGAATACCATTATGAATAAGAGTATACTCCAAACTCGACCCTTGCTCAACTTGCTTTATAATGGTAATCAATGAGCTACCAAGCAACAACTTAGCCCTAATCTCGTCGGTTATGGTCAGCTTAACCTATAACTCTGCTGATAGACTGACATCATTATAAAAGCTCAACTTGGAAAATAAAACTCTAAGATTAGATAATGTCTTACGACTCAAGGCATCGACCACTATATTGGTCTTGCTCAAATAATACTCTATCACATAATCATAATCTTTTAGGAGCTCCAACCAGCTACACAAGCATATACTTCAAACTCTTATGGCTGGTATAGATATAACACTTCACTCCATATAGATAGTGTCTCCAGATCTTTAAAGTAAAAACCACTACAGCTAACTCGAAATCGTGGGTGGGGTAGTTTCACTTATACGACTTTAACTGACGAGACGCATAAGCTACAACCTTCCCTTCCAGAGTGAGAAGCGTCACTGTAAACTAAAAAATCCTTCCATGACTTAGGCTGAATCAACACTAGGGCTTCAGTCAAAATCGTCTTCAATTTCTCAACGCTAGACTGATGTATTTCAAACTAGACAAATGAGACATCCTTCCTCAATAGCTTCGTCAAAAGAGCCGCTACGATGAAGAAACCTCGATAAAACTACGGTAATAACTAGCTAAACCCAAGAAGCTATGAATCTATGATTCATTCTTGGGTTACTTCCAACTCAGAATAGCCTCTACTTTACTTGGATCCACCCGAATACCCTCAACATATACGATATGTTATAGAAAAGTCACCTTACTGAGCCAGAACTCATATTTGCTCAACTTGGCAAACAACTTATGCTCCCTTAAGGACTGTAGAACAATCCTAAAATGCTCATCATGATCTGCTTCGATCCGGGAATACACCAATATGTCGTCTATAAACACGACTACAAACTGGTCCAGATAAGGTCAAAACACCCTATTAATCAGGCCTATAAAAACAACAAGGGCATTGGTTAACCCGAATGACATCACACAGAACTCATAATGCCCATATCAAGTACGGAAAGTGGTCTTCGGGACGTCAGAATCTTTCACCTTGAGTTGGTAATAACCAGATCTTAAGTCTATCTTTGAAAAGATAGTGACTCCTCGGAACTGGTCAAACAAATCAGGGATCCTAGGTAGAGGATATTTGTTTTTAACTGTGAGCTTGTTTAGTTTCCTGTAATCAATACAGAGTCTCAATGTCCCATCTTTCTTTTTCAAAAAGAGAACCAGAGCACCTTATGATAAAACTCTAGGACGAATAATTCCTCTATCCAACAACTCTTGAAGTTAGACCTTCAGTTCCTTAAGCTCCTTAGGGGTCATACAGTAAGGAGCCATCGAAACTAAAGTTGAACCGGAATAGACTTAAATCTCAAACTTAACTTCTCTATCTGGTGGCAAACTAGGCAACTCCTCCAGAAAGACATCAGGAAATTTTTTAACGGTCTGAATTCTTTCTAAGTTCGATCGAGAACTCTTGGTATCCAAAATATAAATGAGGAATGCCTCAAAAGTCTTTCTGATAATCCTTTCAGCTACCAAGGTTGATATGACATTCGATAGGAACCCACGACATTCCCCAATAATCATTATCCTCCTGTTATCAAGAGTCTTCAAGATAGCTCTCTTGGTCTCACAGTTGAGAATAACTCGATGCTCATCCAGTCAATCCATTCCGAGAATCAAATCAAACTCTTCTAATTGCAACTCCATCAGATCCGCCAAAAAAACTCCACATGGATCTTTATAAGGCACCCTCTAAAAATTCAGTCTATATCAATAGATTGGTATGTGGGCTCAGAATTGTCACAGGACTCTCGATATTCCCAATCGGGATATCAAAACCCCTAGATATAGAACGTGATATATAGGAATGAGTAGATCTAGGATTAAATAAAGCAAAGTATGGAACTGAATGAATAAGAATAGTACCTGCAATCACATCAGGCTCCTCATTATCCTATCGACGTCGAGCAACATAAACCAAGCAAGTTGTATGGCCTCAATCCAAGTGTACCCCTGCTCTGAGAAGGTCAAACTTTACTAGCAATCCTATATCCTCTCGACTGACTACGACCCCCAGTTGGAGTCTGAACTGCACTCTGAGTACGAGTAGGAGTCTGAACTGATTTTTAAGATGTGGGAGTCGGCTATGGACAACCCTCTAAGAAATGGTCACTGGACCTACACCTGAAACAAATCCCCCATCCTCTTCGTGCACTCTCTAAAATGGAGTCTCCCACAATACTTACAAGTGGGCATCTGCGGTACTCCTGAAGAACCATCCTGACTAGAAGCTGGAACTATCAGAGTGGCTGACGTTGCAAGCCTCGAACTTACTCTACCTCTCTGAGAAGACTCACCCTACCTCTCTTATTGGGATGCACAAAAACGTCACTAGAACTAGAAGTTCTCCTAAATCAGTCTTTGTCTCAATCAGTGCCTCTGTTTCAGTTCCTCCTACGCTCTAAACCCACTCACTTTCTCTCCTCACCAGTCTTGGCTATCTCAAACAAGGTATCAAATTTCCTCTCTCTGTGGGTAGCAACCCGATCCTTGATATCATACATCAGTCTATTTTCGAACATCAAGCACCGATCTACCTCATCGTCCACCAACCCAGGGCATAACGACTCAGCCTGGTGAACTTAATCTCATAATCCATAATAGACATATTGTCGTAACCGGTTTTCGTCCGGGCACGAAATATTTATTTGGCGGGAAAATTGATGTGAATAAATGGTTTTGAAAATAATTTGAGAGTCGCCATCGGCCTTTTGGATCAGGTAGGTCGAATACCTAAAAATTATCTTTTAAAAGAGTTTAAAAAAACATCAATTAAAAAATGAACTGATCTGCGTTTATAACCAAAAATTCGTTCTTTTTAATAATAAAAAGGGATTCGTGGTCGGTTACGTTTAGGGAAGGATTAGCACCCCTACAACGCCCAAAATTGGTACTTTTTAATTATAAATTGTCTCTTATTATTAAAATTTAAAAATTCAAAAATATATTTAATTTATAATCCTATTATTTCAAAATTATATAAAAAATATTTATTTATTTAAAAATATCAGAAAAAAACTTCTAGGTGCCTTAAGACAGCTCTTTTCTTTGACATTGATAAATATTAATTTAAATAATATTGTTTAATTTTTAATTTTAAAATATCAGAATAGGACATCCAGTTATTTTAAGACTGTCCTTTTCTTTGATATTAAAAATAAATATTTAAAAATTACTATTTATTATATATATATTTATGAATACATAAAAATATTTTAAAAATATAAACAAATAAAATAAAAATACCACTAAAACAATATATATTTTAAAAGCAGTAAAATAAATGAAAACATATAAAATAAATGAATAAATTATAGTAAAAATAAAATTTAAAAATCTAATTTATAATTAATCAAAATTATAGGGATTAAACATGCTATTTCTTTATTTTATTTATTTAGTGACTAAAATAAAATTATTTAAAATTCGGATATTAGAATAAAATAAATTAAAAACATAAACTAGGGATTAAAATATTATTTATTAAAATTAAGGGATTAAATCTGTTATTTATCCTAAATATATTATTTTAATATAAAGGACTAAAATAAAAGAAATTAAAATTTAAGATCTGAATTAAAAGTATTATAAAATCGATTTAGTGACTAGAATGTAAAAATTACAAATTAGGAGGACAGCGGACGGGGTTTAACTATTATCTAATTACGCGCATAGTCCTTCCCGAAACGACGTCGTTCGGGAAGGCCTATAAAAGGTCCAAAACTGGCTGGCCCGAAGGGCCAGCTTCATTTCTTCATTTTCCTTCTCTCTCTCTTCTCTGAGAGAGAGAATTTTCTCTCGCTTCTCTCTAAAACAGAGAGAAGCCAGCCGGCCGGCAGCCGTCAGTCGGCGTTCGTCCGCCGTCAACCACCGCCGCCGGCCACCGTCTTCGGTGGCCGGAAAATTTTTTTTTTACATCGAAACGTAGATCGGACCGTCCTAATGATGGTTCCGATGATCTTTTCCTTTAAACGGCTCCCAATCGGAGCAAATCTAAAAAAATACCTTTGGTTTTTCGAAGGTTTTGGTGAGATCCGGCGGTCGGCTTCCTCGGTAAGTTTCTCTTCTTCCTTTTTCTTTCTTTTCTGGT